TTCCCATCTGCTTGCCTGGCTCCGGTGCCGCTCCCCTTCTGGTGCCCCCTCTCTTCCCTCACCCGCTCCTGCAGGACTGGCCTTCCTGTGCTCTGTCCTTTGCAAGCTCCTCACATCCTCACCTCTGATGGTTCTCGAGGCTCACACACCTCCCCATCTTGTCCCTCTGGTCAGACCTCCACTCTGCACCAGCTCTTCACTGCACCTGACACCCCGATCACCCACACTCTGCCTGTCCAGGATGGGGCACTGCATCTCCTCCTACAAACCTTTTCTTTGTCCTGTGTCCCCAGGCCAGAAAGCTGGGGGCCATCTCTGATCCTCAACCCCATCCTGGAGTCTAACTTCTCTATTCCACCCTTTAAACATCTTTCAAGGCCACCCCCTCCTTCCCATCCCCGTGGTTTCTGCCCTAATTCAGGCCACCATCACCTCCTAGCCTCCAGGTCCACCCACCCTCTCAACCCACCCTCCACACTGCTGTTAGAGTGATGTTTTTAGCGATCAGTGTGAATCTGACCCCGATTTAAAACTTGTAATTAAAAAACAAAAACACCTTAATCACAGGATGAGACCCAAAACCTTTAACTAGACCCATAAAGCCCTAGCCCATCTAGCCCTTGCCCACCTCTCTAGTTCTCTGGCCCTCTCCCGCCTCCTTCACTACACTCACTTCCTTCAGCTCCTCCAAAGCACTAACCTCCTCCTGGTCTCAGAGCCTTAGCATGCCCTGTTCCCTCTGCCTGGAAGGCCCTCCCCCAGCTCTATGGCTGGCCAAGGCCGTCTCATCCTTCAGATTGCCCCCAAAATGTCACATCTCAGAGTTTTCCCAGACCCCTTCCAGGTAATGGGGACCCCCCTTAGTTTCTCCAGCTCAGAACTTGCTGTTCTTCCTTCATCCCCCTGGCCAGCCTCTCAGAGCTTGTGCTCTCGTGTGCTTAGCTATTTAATGTCTGTCTCTCCCATTGCCCAAATTCTCCGTGCGATAAGCACCACCGTCTCCCCACCACAGCTGTACCCCCACACCCAGGCAGGACCCGAGATAAAAGTATTCTCTCAATAACTATTTGTGGAACAAATGATTCTTTCATCTCGTCCTCCTCAGAACCCCATTTCCAGGCTTGCTTTCATCTCTGGACTTTGCATGAGTTGCTTCCTCTGCCTTGAAGGTTCTTTCCTTCCCCTCCCACCTGGGCTGATCCACATATCACAAGATTAATTTCTCTGGGATTTGTCCTTGGCCCCCTCATTTGAATTAGGATTTCCCTCTGGGCTCCCCTAGACCCCTCTACATAGCACTTTATCATAACACTTTAAAATTGTGAATTGCCAGGTAAACATGACAGATTACTAACAATAATGATCTGCTCCCGCCTCTCCTCCTGGACCTCTCCACTTCAGCTGGCTCAAGGGCATCTGCTCTCTGCCTTTCAAACCATCAGGAACCCCATTTCCCATTCGTTCGATAAGCACTGATCAGGCACCCACTGTGTTGTTTTCTTTCCTGCGTACTGGGGAGACAGGGAGAAGAGAAGGGTATAGACAGGTCTCTTCCAAGGGTGAGACTGAAGCAGGTGAGAACAGCAGAGATGCTAAGGAAATGCCCAGCCGGCCCACATTCAGGATGCAAGTGAGTGTCGGGAGGCTGGGGGCTCAGGGCTGGGACTAGTGCATTGAGTTCTGTCCCCTTCATTGAGCATCTGCTGTGTGCAGGGCGTGGTGGGGGAGGGAGGCTGGGGGACACGGAGAGGTGAGCCTGAATGGCAGACACGCCTGGCCTTACCTCCAGCACAGCTGTGCACAGAGTTCACTGAGTCTGTGGTCTGTCTTCTCACCCTGGGAGCAGCCCGAGGGACCAAGGTTGGGTTCAGTTGCCGGAGGAATCTTGGCCAAACCCAGTGGTCACTGTTCAGACTCTCCCTTGCCAGGCTGCTCTGCTCCTTTGAGCTGCTAATCATCCCTCTTTCCTGATACTCTCCACACATCAGAGTTTATCTAAGGGAAATCCAGAGGCCACCTCCATCAGCATCACCTGGGATGGGGGCAAAAATGTGTGGTCCTGGGCTCCCATCTACCAACTAAGGCTCCCTGGGTTGGGACCCCAGAATCTGCATGTGTATAATAACCCCACTGCGCTCCGCACACCCAAGTGTGAGAGCCCCACCGCTCCTGCTGCTTCCAGGAGCAGCCCACCTGCCCTCCTTGGCCCTGGCTGCTGGGTCCTGCATGGGACCCCTCAGGCGCTGCTCTTCCTCTGCACCCCTTAAATGCCAGGGTGCCCAGGGCTCCCCCATGCAAGCCCCTTGCTCCCCTTGTACGCTCACACCTCCAGCACCCCGAACTAGACTTTCTTCTGCCCTTGAGTGGCCAACGGCACCCAGCCTTGACACGACTAAAGCTGACTCCACCACCCGCTCCCCAGAACCCACCTTCCTCCCCTCCCCGCCCACGGTGCCCATCTCAGCAAGCATCCCGCCTTTGCCCAAGCCAGAAACTTGGGTATCGTACTCAACTCCCTTTCTCTTCCTCCCTCATCTCAGCAACAGTCAAATCCCGATTATTTTGCCTCCTAAAGATGTCTTCAGTCTCCCCTCTCTCTCACCCCAGAACACTGCATTTATCTCCTAACTAGTTCATTCCCTCTCCCTGCCTTTGGTCTCTCCTTTTTCCAGTGAATTCTCCAAAAGCTTTCTAAAATGCAAATCTGACTATAATCACCAGCCCCCTTAAAACCCTTCAAAAGATCCTCAAGGTCCAACCCCTTGACTGACACATGAGACCCTCCATCAGGTGGTCCCCGCCTCCTCCTCCAGCTTCCTCTCCTCCCCTCTGTGCTCCAGTAACAGCGAACTGCTTCCAGCTCTAGCCTCCAGACCTTTGACCAGTCAGTGGCCCCTGCCAGGAAGCCCTGGCCTGGCTGACTCCTCCTCACAACTTCAGCATCACCTCCTCCAGGAAGCAATCCATGGCTCTCCCTTCCCCTTCGGATGTCCTCCGTGCATCCACAACAGGGATCTGGTATTCCACTCACCACACTGAATGGAAATCATCGAGTTCCATGTCTCGGTTCCACACTACCCAGTGAAATCCTTGAGGGCAGGGATGGTGTCCTATTCATCTCTATATCCCAGCCCCTGGCCTGGTGCCTGGCACCAAGGACAGGCTCAGCCGGTGGTTGACAGATGAATGCGGAGGGGAAACTTGAAGGAAGTGAGAGCCAAGAATGGCCGAGAGGGTAGTGAGGGCAAGCCTGGCAGGAGGCACAGCCAGAGCAAATGTGTGGGAAGTAGAAAATTGAGAACTTCCCTTTATTGCACTCCCACGGCTGCCCGCCAGCCATTGTGCCTGTGCTTCGTTTGCACATTTTGTCTCATTTCGTTCTTGCAACAACAGATCAGGACACCGGCATCAGAGAACCAAAGCAACCTGCCCAAGGTCACACAGCCGGGCCTGGAGTGGAATCCAGGACTGTCTGGCCTGAAAACCTGTGCTCTTTCTGCTGGGCCACACTGCTCTCCTGAGGTCAGGACCTTCCAGAGATGGACAAGCAGCGGGCCCAGCTACGCCTCTGCCCAGTTGAGCACCAGAACCAGCTGCCCACGCTCAGGCCGACAGCTTCTTCCTCCCAGCCAGATCAGAGGCTCGGAGGCCAGACAAGGATTTATCTGTTCCTTCCTTCCCCAGCTTTGGGGGTCTTTGACTAGACATGCATGCCCCCACCACCACCACGAGGAAAGGACTGCTGCATCCTGGTACCGCCCAGGGTACCTGGGGAATGCAGGGGGTTCTGTGATGCTGTCTGGGTTCTGCAGAATCTGTCTCCCTCATCGCACTTGGCCCAGGCTGATATTAAGATTCATCTGCATTCCCCGTGCACCCGCCTGGCAGATGGTGGGGGAGGAGGCTGGGTGCATGCTGGGGGCTGCAGCCAGAGACTGAGCTGGGCCTCGAGGGCCACAGAGCAGACTGCCCACCCATCGTGCCCCGTGGGCCCAGCCCTGGCTGGGGCCTCTCCAAATGCTGGGGTATCTCCTCACCCTCACAGCCTCCAAGGGCTGCTAGGACCTGACCTTTGCTTTTTCTAAGGACTAAAGGGAACCTGACGTTCCAGGAAGGAAACGTGGAGATGAGTGGGGGTGATGGAGGATGGGCCCTCGCCTTTGGGAATCTCAGATCAGGGTCTTGTTCTTCCTGCCCCAGAGGTTTGCAGAGACAAGAGATAACCAGGGACCCCGCTGGGGTAGGAGTCCCAGTTTGGCGACTCCCTGGGTCACAGGGAGGGTAAGTAGTGAAGAACGGAGGTACAGCTGCCAGGGAGACCTTGCCCCCCCTCACTCCCCAGCATCTCAGGAGGCTCACTCCTGTCCCCAGCCCCAGAATCCAGCCTGGCCCCCAGCGGCCTTTGCAGCCCAGGGCTCCAGCCAAAAGTTTCGTGTCACAGTGGTTGGATTGAGAAGTGCGTGGAGGGAGAAGGGTTATCCCAGCCCCTCTGAGTAAAGTAGAAGAGGAGAAAAACTGACATTACAACAAAAGGAGTACAGGCTAGACACCTAGAAGAACTTCCCTCAGCACAGAAGCAAGTCTTGCAGAGAGAAAGTGGACTGCGGAGACAGGCTACATTATTGACGTTCTCTTTTGGCTGTTGGAATAGGTTTGGAAAAAATGATCTTACAAATTCCAAGTCTCCTGGGGTTGAGGGCAAGGCTGCAGATGCCCGCTACGGGGAAACAGGCGCCCTGCCAGAGGGTGGAAAAGGTAGTGTCCCCATCTTCGGGCCACTACCCTCTCCCTTCCTTGCCAAGAGTTACTCTGCCCCCGCGTCCTGCCCCTTCGCCCTGGGTCCCCAGGCTGAGGGCCGGCAGGCGAGGAGTTAACTCCGGAGGTACCGGCTGGGTTCGCTGTACCTGCCGCCGCCGCCGCCGCCGCCGCCGCGGGTGGGAGGGATGAGGAAGCGGGAGCCGCCTGGGCGCCAGGAGCGCTCCAGTCTGGCGGGGTGCTGCGCGGGGAGCGGCGGCAGGGGCTCGGCGCGGCCAGGGGCGTCCGCCAGGGGGCGCGCCGCGACGGGGCGGGAGGGGCCGTCTGGTCTGGGGAATTAGCACCAGGGACGGGCGCGCGCTCGGGTCCCCAGCACATCTGGACGAGAGCGACGCCGCTGGAACCGAGGGGGGCGCCGAGCGCAGATCTGCGGAGCGGCAAAGCCACCGCGCAGCTGGGGCCCTTCGAGGCGCTTGGGGCGCACATCTAGTACCTCGAGAGGGGGCCGCGCCGCGCGCAGCTGGACCAGGGGAGGGGGCGGCGGCTGCACAGCTGGACCGAAGGGGGCGGGGTCGGTCCTGGGCGGCTGGCAGAGGGGAGGGCCGCGAATCGCCGGGGACTGGAGCATGGGACGGCGCGCCTGAAAGAGCGAGGGTAAGGAAGGGGCCTGGGACCCCGCAAGGAAAAGAGGAGAGACAGGGGCCCGAGAGCAAAGGAGGAAGATGCAACTGACTCGCTGCTGCTTCGTGTTCCTAGTGCAGGGCAGCCTCTATCTGGTGAGTGGTCTGGGGAGCGGCGCGGAGGGGCGGGGGCCCGGAGGATTGGGGGAGAGCGCGGGAAGCTTCCGAGCCCGGAAACTTTCTCCCTTCCCCCCCACATCCCCGGGATAGAGGGGAAGCCTGGAGGCTGGGAGAGAGGGCGGGTCCGAGGCCGGAGACTGTGCAGAAAGGGTTAATAGGGGCGGGGAGAGGGTGCTTGGCTGGCCCACCCACTCGGTTGCTGGTGGCGGGAGGTGCGACCAGCACGAGGGAAAAGGCCGGCAGCCGGGTCGCCAAGGGTTACTCGACCCCTTCCCGGCGCCCCGAGCCGTGCGGAAGGGGGTTGGGGGTGGGTGGTGGAGCAGAGGACCTGCCAGGTCAGGGGGCGTGGGCTTTTCCCTGACCTCGGGGGCCCAGAGGGCCCGGGGCTCTGGGTCCCCCAGCGCGCAGGCAGGGGGCGGCCCCTGCGTCCCTCGCTCTCGCCTTCCCTCTCGCTCCCTCCCTCCCCGCCTGTTGTTTTCCTCTCCTCTCCCGGCTGCGCGCAGCCCGAGCCCCACAGGACCTGGGCAGGCGGCTCCCGCCCCGGGCGCTCGCGGCGGCTGAGCGGGGCGCTCAGAGCCCGCTCCCCGTGCGCTCGCTCGCGGCTTCCTGGCGGCCCAGAGGTCCACCCCAGACCCCAGCCCGGGGCTCAACTCCCCTCCGACCTAGCGCCCGCCGACCTCCCCCCCGCAATCCTGTCGTGGAGAACCCTCAGCCCCACATCTGGAGCTGCCCCTTTCCTCAAAACAATAATCCCCTTTGCCACTGTATGGAAGAACCCTTCCCTTCTCAAATCCCACTTGCAGCCCTTCCACCCATCCTCCAGCCATTCAGCTGTGACTCCCAGGGCCAAGTACACACAGGTCTGCAGCCTTGAGCCCAGCCCCCAGGAGCCTCCCCTCCTGGCTGGCCCTTTACCCCACCCCCTGGGGCCTGGCAGGCAGGGCCACCATACATATCCGCGGGCATGGCCAGAACAGAGGGCATGAAGACCCCAAACCTCTTTGGAACCCTCTAGACCCCAGCCCTCAGGCCTCCCTCATCCTCACCCCAGAGTCACCAGCAAATCCAGATGCTGCCCAGCTGTGAGCTGGTGCCCCTGGTGCTGGTAACACAGACACATAGGGTGAGTACTCTCTTCAAAGGCTGAGCAAACACATGCCTGCCGGCTGCCCTCAGGAAACCTTGTCCACGCCCTGATGCCCTTCAGAGCTGTCCTGTGTCTGAGCTCTGTCAGGCGGTCCCACTGGCCCTCCTTGCAGCTCCTCCAGGAAGCCTCCCTAGGTGTCGCCTGTCACCGGAGCTGATCCTGCAGGCTGGCCGAGCCTCCGCAGAGTTTTACAGGAGAATCCGGGTGGGGTTGGGGCTTGGATAAAACCCCTAGAAAAGGACACATCTGGTCTGTGAGGCCGGGCGCGTGCGGTGGGATGGGAGGGCTGACCCTGTGTTACTTGGCTTTGTAGTGATGTAAGCTTGGGTCCTGGTGTCCTCATGTGTGAAATGGGAATGACCAGAACTCCTACCTCCTAGTGCAAGTGATGTCCTGGTGTGTCATCGTCAGTGGTTCCCAGAGGAGTGCTTGGCTTTCCACACCCTGGTCATCCCTCCGGGTCTCCCCCTGGTCCTCCTGCCAAAACCAAAACTGTATTTGTGCTGAAGAGAGAATTTCACTGGGTTCCATTTTCTTATTCCATTGTCTGTTGGTTTCGCCTCTGAAAATAGAAACTATCCTGGAGTAGGATGGTGTCTCATCCAACAGACTAGGAAATCCCACAAGGCAGGGGCTGTCCCTCTGCTGTCAGACCCGGGATCTCCCAGCCTAGGGACGGAGCTTTCCTATCTGACTTGGGGATCACTGAGGGCAGGGACCAGGCCTCCCCCGTCAGCCTGGGACTTTCCCAGCGGCAGGGACTCTACCTCTCCTGTAAGACGGGGACCGTGTCTGCACAGGGATATGCTTCTGCCATCAGATGGGGGCTTTCCCGAGATCAGGAGCTGGGCCTCCCCCATCAGGCTGGCAACTCCCTAGGGGTAGGGGCCGTGCATCTCTGTGCCGTGGTCCACTAGAGAGAATTCTTGACCATCCTTCCAGACTTTGCATAGTGGCAGAGGCAGGACAGTGAGGAGAGGAGGTGGGACTGACCTGAGTGTCAAAACACGAGATGGGACCACAACACAAGACAGATTGCACACCCACCCACCAGCCATACCTGGGCAATGTGCAGGGCCCTCTCAGCCCAAGTTAGTGGAAGGGACAGGCAGAGAGATGACGCTGGTGGTGGGAAGCGGGAGACCAGAGCTCCTGGGTCCTCTGGGGACAGGGCTCTCACTCTCCTCCCAACTCCCTCCACAGGTCATCTGTGGCCAGGATGATGGTCCCCCTGGCTCAGAGGACCCTGAGCACGATGACCATGAGAGCCAGCCCCGGCCCCGGATGCCTCGGAAGCGGGGCCACATCTCACCTAGGTCCCGCCCCATGGCCAACTCCGCTCTCCTAGGGCTGTTGGCTCCACCTGGGGAGGCATGGGGGGTTCTTGGGCAGCCTCTCAACCGCCCGAATCACAGCCCCCCACCCTCGGCCAAGGTGAAGAAAATCTTTGGCTGGGGCGACTTCTACTCCAACATCAAGACCGTAGCCCTGAACCTGCTCGTCACTGGGAAGATCGTGGACCACGGCAACGGGACCTTCAGCGTCCACTTCCGGCACAACGCCACGGGCCAGGGCAACATCTCCATCAGCCTCGTGCCCCCCAGTAAGGCTGTAGAGTTCCACCAGGAGCAGCAGATCTTCATCGAAGCCAAGGCCTCCAAAATCTTCAACTGCCGGATGGAGTGGGAGAAGGTGGAACGGGGCCGCCGGACCTCGCTCTGCACCCATGACCCAGTCAAGACCTGCTCCCGAGACCACGCTCAGAGCTCAGCCACCTGGAGCTGCTCCCAGCCCTTCAAAGTCGTCTGCGTCTACATCGCCTTCTACAGCACGGACTATAGGCTGGTCCAGAAGGTGTGCCCGGATTACAACTACCACAGCGATACCCCCTACTACCCCTCTGGGTGACCCTGGCAGGCCACAGAGGCCAGGCCAGGGCTGGAAGGACAGGTCTGCCCTGCAGGAGGCCATCTGTCTGGACACTGGGCAGGGAAGGGGATGGGCCTCAGGCAGGGAGGCGGGTGGAGAGGAGGAGATGCTAAGTGGGGCCAGGCCAAGTCTCAAGCGGTGGGGAAGGGGTCCTACGTGCTGGCCCCAGCCTGAGGTTGTGGAGCGGCCAGGACACGGGAGCACTGGAGGAGGAGTGAGTTCTCAGTGCAGCCTCACAGCGTTCCCCGCTGAGCAACAGGCAGAGGCTGGATCCAGGAGGCTCCTGGGGCGAGCAAACCAGTGTGGCCCCAGTAGAGTCATGGAGAGGAGCCTAACACCTTGGCTCCCTCCCTGCCATCCCGAGGAAGGGCAGCAATAAGCAGAGGGGTGTTACGTCAGTGGGGCCACCAAGTAGGCGATGAAGAACAGCTGAGATGGGGCTTCCTGGGGGCCGACCCTGGGCGTGGAGGAACTGTCCAGCCCCGCCCAGTGGGCAGCCCCAAGCCCCTTGTCCTGGACTGTGGACTGAGCTTGGCTTGAGGCTGAAGTGGTGACCTTTGGTGTCTTCGATGTCTTGACAAATAGACCCATCTGCCCCCAGCCAGGCCACCGCTTTCCAAAATTTCCTCTCCTTCTGTTGCTCCCCACCCACCCTCGTGCTGAAGGGACACCCATCCTTAAGCTGAGACAGAGGGCGATCGTGGTTCTCCCAGCACCAAGTGGAAGCCCACCCATGCACTGTGTGTCCCTCCTCCACCCCACCCCCTGCTGGCTCCTCTAGGAGCATCCTTGTCCAGCGAAACATCCTTCAATAGCCAGCCTTGCCTGTCAGATGGGGGCTCACCTGGATAGAGATGGTGCCTCCCCTCTCGGCCCTTGGGGCCCTCAGCAGCTCGGGGCTGGACTGTGGAGGGTGTGCTGGACCTGTTCCATAGTGTCTGTCTCTGGGTGGGGGAGGGGAGGGGAGGGAGGTCTTGTGAAATCACCTGATTGTCAACTTCTTGTTCTTGGAGCAGGAAATAAAGGTTTCCCGAGGCATTGGATTCTGAGTTGTCCGGGGGGGAAGGGCCTCGGCTGCCCTGTGGTCCAGCCAGCATTTCTTAGACGGCAGCAGGACATTTCCTGGAGACCAGAGCTGCAGGCTCCAGCGCTGTTGGAGCTGATGATGCTCACCGAAGGCTTCAGGGCGTCATCTCCAGCCCCCTTTCCAAGCTGTCGGGAAAGCTGAGCGAACACTGTGCTTGGTGCCGGTAGGGGGTGGGGGCGTGGGGCATCTGCAAAGCAGCTTGCAGAGGAAGAGCTGGCAGGTGGGATGGGTCCTAGAAGGGTGTTCCTCGCTACCTCCCTGGATTGCCATCTGGGTGGGCCCAGCGGGCGTCCTAGCTCTGTCAGTATTGTGCCCTGTGGCCTTGGGCAAGTCCCTTCTCCTCTCTGGGTCTCTTTCTGTTCCTTCTCTATAAAATGAGGAGCTCGCCCAGCCCAGAGGTTCTCGAATGTGAGTGGGCGTCTGAATCACCGACAGGGTTCATTAAAACACACATTTCTGGGTCCCATCCCATGGTTTCTAACTCAGTAGGTTTGGGGTGAGGCCTAAAGAATTTGCCTTTCTAATGAGTGCCCAGGTAGACGCTGAGGCTCCTGGCCCAGGAGCCACACTCTGAGGACCGCTCACATGACCTCTAAGTTAGTTTCTGGCTCTGGCTCCTTGGGATGAGGAGACCTCTGATGCTCTCTCCTGAGCATCAGAGATTTCCACCTGCTTCTCCTGGGGCAGTCTCCTGGGAAGGGTCCCTGCAGAGAATCAGGGGGATTGGGTTTTCAATCTGATGACGTGCTAGTGGAGGAGCAGGCCAGGGTGGAGTGGGGACAGAAAGGGAGTTGAAAGCAGCCGTTTCCTGCCCCAGCCAATAGGAGGGCCTCGGAACATGGCTGCAGCGGCCCCTCGTCTAGGAGTTTGCTGGGCCCTTCGGGGCTCAATGAGGGGAAGGTTGGGGTCCCCACTACCAAGATCACAATGCCCTCTCTGGAGGTCATTCTAGGTCTGCTTTCTTGAGAGGGCAGCGCTCAGGTCCCCGGGGTCCCCTTGGCTGTGTAGCCACAGTGATGAGAGTCCTAGCATGAGGGTCAGATGGTCTGCCACCCCCAGCCTGTCTCCCCTGCCCACCTGCACAGAGCAGTGCCTCTCACACTGCAGGGCAGAGCTGGGCCAGGCCTTAGAAGCCACCTTGGTGCAGGCCCACATTGGATGAAGTGACCCAGGAAGGGCATGTGACGTGAGCTCACACTGCTATTCCAGCTTCTTTGCCCTGCATCCTGCTTCCTGGGGCCATCTCCTCTGAGCAGAGATTTGAGACACAGCCCCCCCCCCACACACACACACACTCTTCCCTGGCACTCTCTCCCTTCCCACCCTGGGGACGGGTGCTTAGTTCGGAGAGGCCCAGGGGCTTGAGACCTGCCATGGGGGCATTGGGGTTGCTGGAATCTCGTCCATTTTCCCACCTGTGAACGCCCACTGGACACCAACCAGGAGCACCTCCCACAGCCCTGTGGGCACTGGAGGAAGAGTAGGACGGCGGTAGCTCTGGGCCCCTCCTCCATCTGGCCTGGCTGAACTGTCAGCAGGACTTGGGGGCTCTCTGACCCACCCCCTCTGGCTCCTCTCCTCCCGCGGAGAGCCAGATGCTGCCGACAGCTGGAGGGCCGGCCTGCCTGGCACGCAGCTCTGCCTGCGCAGGGGGTGGGTTCATTTTAATAACTTCATTTCGCCCGCGTGCACACTCCGCCGCCTCATCTCTCCTCTTCTGTCTGCCCGGTAACCCGGCTGCTCTTCTCAGCTAGGACACTCACAGGAGAGCAGATTCCTCAGGAAGGAGCTTGTCTCCACCCCTAGAGAGAAGTTCCAGATCCTACCCTGGCCCCACGCTTTGGCCTCCTCCCCGACCGCCCCTCAGTGAGCGGGCTGCTGGTCCCATGGTCCTCCTCCTCCATCCGCTCAACTCGGCTGGGGAGCTGCCCCCTGGGGGTCTTGTCTCCTCCATCAAGTGGAGCTTCCGGGACAAGCCTACCAGACTGGGGGCTCTTTGAGGTCACGGCCGCTATCTCCCCTTCAGACTGGGGAGCCCCTGGGGCCAGGGTCTGTGCCTCTCTCATCAGACTGGAGTCTCCCTGAGGCCAACAACTGCAATATGATGCAGGGAAAGCTCGTTCTTTTCTGAGCATCGGAACACCTGCAGGCCGCCTCTGCCCTTCAGCCTCGTGCACAGGTGCTGTCTGGGCCTTGGCATTCCCATCTCTAACGGGGTGAACCTTCCCGGCAGTCTGTGAAGCTAATAAGAGGGCATGCACATTAGGTCAATTAGCAACAAGGCTTGATGAAGTTTAGGGCAAAAGCGAATGGGTGTCCGGGTCCCTCCTCCCGCTTCCCTCCTCTCTCCCCCCGTTTCTTCTTCCCCGGGATGAGCAAGCGGGAACTGAGTCACCCCCTCCCCATCCTTGGCAGGAATGCTGGCGACCTAGCATGCGGCAGACGCCGGTGGCGAGGCCCATTGCTCAGAGATGCACGAGGTGGTGGGTGGGTAGGGAAGCTGGGGGCAGGGTGTGTACGGGGGTGGAGGCAGCTGAAGGTCATGGGGTGACCAGGGACCTGATTATCGAGTAGGTATGTGTAGGGGGTTGTGGAGACACAATGAACCAGTTGCTCTGTGGTGGAAGTGAGCCAATGTTATGGCTGGGAGTGGGAGAGAGAAATGTTACTTCTGAAGATTCTGAGTCCTGTGGAGAACCGGGGGACGAGAGAGGCACCATCAGCTCCACCAGGAGGAGGTAAGATCGAGTGGTGGTGGCACCTGCCGATTATGCCAAAGTCCTGGAGTGGCAGCTGCCCCCATCACCAAGACACAAATACCAAAGGAGACCTGGCACTCAGCAGTTGGGGGCTGGGTTCTGGTTCCACAGGGGACCCTGTTTGCTGTTGGTCTCCAAGCTCAAAGGCCAACCTGATAATAATCCAAGTGAAGGGTGCCTAGTTCAGTCTCCCAGTCCATAATCTCAGGGCCACCTGGCCAGATGGTCCCAAGGAACGAGCTGGCACCTCCTGAACCACAGAGGCTGCCAGCGAACTGGCAACATGAATGTTACAGGAAGATGTTTCTGGGTCCCAGTCCTGGGTCTGTAACTTATTAGCTGAGGGGCTTGGACAAATGACATAACCTCCCAGAGCCCCCTTATGTGAAAAACTAGGGATCTCCCTACCTTGGAGCATTGTTAGGAAAATTAAATGAGTTGCTCAACAAATGTTTCCTCCTCCTCTTTGCTTTTGGAGATGGGTTTGTGTTGACTTCCACCTTGCTCCTGGTGTGGAGAGGCAAAAAGGGCCCAGGCTGGAGGTGGGAGACCTGGGCTCCTTTCCTGGTTCTGCCCCATATTGCTTGTGGCAGAGACTGCTAATTGTCCCTTAAGATCCATTTCCCCTTTCTCCATAGTAATGGAATTCTCCATTTTTAGCTGGGCACATGGCTGCCTGAAATAAATACTACGTTTCTCTGCCTCTCTTGCATCTAGATGTGGCCATCTGACTAAGATCTGGCCAGTGACATGTAAAACAAAGGGCTACTTGGCAACTTCCAGAAATCTTAAAACAGTTAATATATACTCTTTGCCCCTTCTTCTTCGTTCCCTCCTCCATCCTGCTGCCTGGAATATGTATGTGATTGCTGGAGCTCTAGCTGCCATCTTAGACCATGAGGGATAACAGCCACGCCGTAGAAGTAACAGAGCAATGAGCTGGAAGAAGTCTTGGTCCCTGAAAATTTTGTGGAATAGAAATATCATACCAGCCCAGGGCTGCCTACCTCCAGACTTTTATGTGAGAGGAAAATCAAATTTCTCTCTCATATCTATCAAATTTCTATCTTGTTGAATCTCCATTTCTTTCAGTTAAATCTAGCTCTACCTGATTCAGTGTTTGAGCACGTCACTTCTGTAGGCCTCAGTTTCCTCATCTGTTGAAATGAGATAATGCTCACATATCTTGTCATACTTCAGAGAGGTTTTATAGACTCACAGGCAAGAATGAACTTGGGAAACTTCTGGTCCTCCCCCCTCTCTGGCATCCAGGCACACAGCCTCCACTTTGGGAGGTGGAACAAGTTGCTTCTGCATTGCAGGGAGCCCCTGAGAGGCTCAGAAGGATTCTCTACCCGTCTGAAAGGCCTCCAGTCCCCAAATCAGCCCCCACACGTCTGAGTCCCCAACCACATTGTGATGTTGGTGACACACAATCCTCGTTAAGGGCCTGACTGATCCCAGCCAGATGGGATCCTAATTTAATTAAAACCCTCTAATTACCTGCAACAACACAGCTTTGGAAGTCCAATGCAGAAGGGGCCTGTGATGGGAGGGGAATGGTCGACAGGGCAGAGTAGTGACTGCCCTTCCCTCAGTTAGGGAAGCCAGGGTGCCAGGCATTTCTCCCACCCAGCCGGGTGGGCACAGACTGCATGGAGCAGCCGGTGCAGCCCGTGCGTCTGGCTCAGTCGACAGCCAGGCAGGGGAGTGGGGCGAACCAGGCCCTTGGGAGCAGAGGACTAGGCTCTTGAACCTGAAGCTGCCGCTGTTGGCTTTGTGCTTACACTGAGACTAGCACGGGGTCCTGAGACCCTGGCCCTGTGCAGGACATTCCGGGAGGAGCAGGCGTGGTTCTAATTCCTTCTGAAGTGGCCTGGCTTAAGAAACAGAGGTACCTCTGCATCCACAGAGGGAAAGCCAAGCCCCTGCAAACAAGGTCTTTCCTCAAGATGTTACCCACTTGGGGAGGGGGAATGAAAGGGAGCGATATAGGTGGGCTGCGGAGGCACCATGTGGTTTCTGGGGGACTAGTAAGCCCTCCCGCCCCCCGCCCCGTGGTACTAGGCCTCAACTGGCTCCTCCCTGTGAAGGCAGAAGGAAGGAGCCCTTCTGGCCCTCGGGCCAGGCCAGAGCCTGCCAAGCCTTGGCAGGGGCAGACTCAGAAACCCAGACCCTG